AAAAACTCAAAGAAAATACTATAAAATCACTATAAAAACTCAATAAAAAGAGCATATACACAGTAGTGGGTATATAGTCAAAGGTATATTATTTATTTATTAGGAAAATATTAGAAAAATTAGGAGACAGAACCTGGCAAAACCTCTCCTGCCTTGGGCAAAAAGACAGGGTTTTTATATTTTTTAGAACTCTATGTAAGAATGAATAATATTTTGTGCTAACAGGTCTGTGTCTGTACCAACGGGTCTGTGTTAACGGGTTTGTACCAATGGGTCTGTGTCAACGGGTCTGTGTCAACGGGTCTGTACCAACGGGTTTGTACCAATGGGTCTGTATCACAGGGGTGACAGATTATTATTTGTTATCTTCTATAGTTATATATTTTTAAACCTTAATAACTCATTAACTATTAACCCAAATGACAAACAGTAAAAACTACACTAAGGAAATCAATATCAAGGATTCCATTGGTGGAATTAGATTTGTACTACAATTGGAAGTTACATAGAGTTACTTAATAAAAATTTAAAAATACTAATATACTACTAATATAACAATAGTAAAACAAAAAGCAAAAGAGAATATAAGAGGGTATATTGAAACTCGATATGATATGATTGTAAAGAACCAAAAGAAAATGCTTACAAGCTTGCTAGATAGGCCATTTAGAAAGATTAAGATAGATAAAGTAACAGTTTAAAATAAAGAAGGAGATGTAAATCTTTTACATGACTCTGAAAAAATAAGAAGCGAGGTTAAAAGACATTTCTAAAACCAATATGCAAAAAGAAGTTCAAAGCTATACAATATGTCAAAAAGATAGAAAAGAATATATACAGAACAAGAAGATATACAAAATTCATGATATAAGAATCTGCTTCAAGAAGTCATATTAGAGGAATAGGATAGCACAATAAGCAAAGCAAAAAACAGTTCTATATCAGGCCTATCTGGTATTAGCTACTCAGTTTTAAAGCAAGCAGGAACAAAAGTAAGAAAAGTATTCGTAAAAGTTGCATTAATCTGCCTTGAAAAAGAAAGAATACCAAAGAAATGAAAAGCAGAAATGCTATATCCAATACTAAAAAATGAGAATTAGAATTATAATTTGAATAATATTAGACCAATAGTGCTAATCGAGATATTCAGAAAGTGTACAGTAAGAATACTTACATATAGATTAAGTAAGATTCTCAAAAAAAAGAGTATCTTAAAAGAGTACAACTTCACAGGCCTCCTAGGTAAAAGAATATCTACTTCTATTTATATTATAAACAATATCATTGAAGATGCAAAAGAAAAAAATAATGAGCTATGGATTGTTTTTCAAGATATTCAAAAAGTATTTGATTCTGAAAGCATAAAAATGCTCAAAATGGTATTAAAGAGAATCAAAATTCCCATAGCAGCTATTGAGTTCATAGTAAACCTGTATGAAAAAAAAGAAATAGAGGTAATCACAAGCCTAGATAATACAGATAGGTTCTAAGCAATAGACAGAATTGATCAAAATGAAGTAATATCTCTATTAATATGGAAAATCTTTTATGACCCACTTCTAGTTGTAGTGCAAGAAGAAAAGGATCTAGGATACAAGATGAAAGTAAATTGGTCTACAGATATAACAAGACTAAGCCTCAAAGAACTCAAGTGGAGACAAGCCATAATCGTGTATGCAAATAATATAGCTTGGCTAGCCAAGTCTAAAAACGGAATAAAAAAATCATAAAGATTGCAGAAGAATTTTTTGATATTAATGATATCAAAGTCAATGACAAAAAGTCAGAGCTTATAGTAATAGAAAGAAGAAAGATTCAAAGAACCTAGCAGAGCCTGTTCGGATTACAATAGCAGGAGTTGAAGTGAAAGCTAAGAAAAAGGCTGAAGTGGCAAGATATTTTAGAATTTGGATATCAGAAAAAGCCAGCAAAGAGTGTAATATAGAAATAGTGAAGAAAGAAGTTCAACAACTTACAAAAGTAATAAGAAGGAAGAAAATGATGCTAGGCTAATTGGTATATATAAACAACAAAGTGCTGATACCCAGGCTAGAATATCAGTTACAATATTGTTTAATACCACAAACTATGTGCAAACGAATCTACTATTCAATACTTATACTAATTAAAAGTAAAGCGAATTTAGTAGTCATAACTATAGATTAGTTAGAGGATATACCAAATTAGAAAATCACATTCTAGAATGATTTATGGGCAAATTTTTAAATTTAATTGGCTTTTATGAGCCCACAAAGTCATACATTGGCAAAAAAAAATTTTTATAATAATTTTGCTAATTGATATTCGAATATATAGCTTTAGACGCCCAATTTAAATAATCAAAAGTAATCAACGCTAATCAACTCTTGTCAAAAAGGTAAATGAGATTTGAAGTTTGAGAAGTTATTTAAAGTGTAGAAGTTTAATCTTGCTAATCTGTATTATACTTTTTTACAGCATTAGCTTTTCAAAGACAACTCGAAGAACTCGTCTTTGCAATAAATGAGCATAGCATGATAGTAAGAACAAATTAGCATAATAGTAAGAACAAATTAGCATAATAGTAATAACAAATTAGCATAATAGTAATAGCAAATATAGCATGATAGTTAGGGTGAACGTAGCATGGTAGTTTTGGGATAATATTTAGGATAAACTAGCATAATATTTAAGACAAATGCAGCATGATAGTTGGAATAAACATATAGTTGAAACAAATACAGCATGATAGTTGAAACGTAGCAATAGTTAGAATAAACATAGCACGATAGTTCTGGATGAATATAGCATGGTGTTGGGATGAACATATCACGATAATTAGAATGATCATAATATGATAATTCTGTATTACTATAGTATATAGTTAAATTTGTAATAATTTAGATTCTTAAATTTAAAATTAATAAATAAATTAAGAGCAATTTTAATGACTATTCTGGATGACTTTCTCAAATACTATCTCTAAAATTGATCAATAAAAATTTACTTTTTTTTTTAATTAATTAAAAAACTTATTAAAAAATAATTACACATGTCATACTAAAATATTTCTAAAACAACCATCTAATTATTAATGATTTAAGTACTCTAACTCAAATTATCTAACTACTACTGATTTAGCATCCAACTATTAATGATTTAACTACTCTAACCTAACTCTCACACAACAGATAATGACACCAACTAGAGCAACATCCTTGGGCATATATGAGAGAAAGAAAGAAGCATTAATTGCTTTTACATGGGTGAAAAAAAAAAAACTAACAAAATTCACTATCAGCAGCAATGAACTGTACTATTAATGAAATTCTCAAGACCACTAAAAACATAAACCAACTAGAGTAACATTTTGGGAGCTATATAAAAAAAAAAAAGGAGTGTTAATTGACTTGTATATAGGTAAAAAAAACAAAATCCACCATTAGCAGCAATGAACTATACTACTGATAAAATCCTCAAGACCACTATATTTTACAAAGAAACAACACCAACCAGTGCACTATATAAAAAAAAAAAAGAAGTGTTAGTTGATTTGTACATGGGCAAAAAAAAGAAACCTAACAACAAAATTTACTAGCAATGATGAACTATACTATTGATGAAATCCTCAAGACTACGTACCTAAGCAACAGAAAAAAGCATTAGCGATACTATGATGACAACGTTGATAATCTTAACTGTTGAAAGAAAAGAAAGAATTTAATAACCTAAATATGGGGAATATATAAAATTAATTTAAAATTTTTTTTTAATATTTAATCTTATTGGTAGCACGTAGAACAATCTGGAAAAAGATCTAGAACAACCTGACGAATGATCATCACCAAATAAGGTGCGATCTGCAATAGCCAAATATAGTATATTCCCTGACTGTAATAGACGATTTGTCTTTCGTGTAATAGTAACTTTGCAGATTCCTATGTTTGCGCCTTTAACCCAAGTATTTTGGAATCCACTAAGCCGATTTGGATGATTTAACTACCGTTAGGATTCTAAAAACCTTCTCTACAAATTTTTCTTAGCCTAGAAGAGACCTTTACTTAGTAAAACTTTCTTTAATTTTTAAAATATTGTTTTAGCCAATCATATTATTACTTTAAATAAGTCAGTTATTTGACTTAAAGAACATAGAGAAGAATTAAACAACTTTAGCTTAAGATCCTTTTAAAACTACTTGATATATAGCTTTATAATTTTTGTTAAAGAAGCATTAAATATTAAAGAATATAAGTCCCATATTTAAAATTATATTTTATATTTATTTTTTTGAGTAAATTAAAGAAAAGTATTTTTTTTGCCAAATTTTATATATAAATTTGGGTAAGTCAACTTATTTGATTTATATTAAACAACAACCAAGGTGACATGTCTTGTGTCTAATATTTATAATTGATTATTTTAAAACCTATAATTGATTATTTTAAAACTTGTAATTAATCTAAGTAATTAGTTTTAAGAAAGTTTTAAAAATCTGGATTTAAGGAAAGCTATAATTATATAATAAATATTAGTTCTCTAATTAAAAAAAATTTTTTAAAAAATTATCAGAGTATTTGTATATATAGTCAGACCTTTCTAAATATATTTTTCCTAAATATAGCACCTTTCTAAATATATTATATAAGCCTGGGCCTATGGTGAGATTTATAGATAAATATAAGATAGACAGAGATAATTTGGCAAAATTAACATTGCTATTAAGTAAACTTTTTTTTAACCCATGCAAATTTTCAAATATTTAAGTCACAAAATGATATCATATTCAAAAATAGGCCTGTAAAAAAAAAAGATTATATGATAGATTGAATTAGTATAAAAATCATCACTTTGTATACGGTATTAAAAAGATAAAAATTTGATTAACAAGAGTAATTTGGCAAATTTTTGAAAATTTTTTTTTTTTTAATATTTTCATATTTTAGCAGGCTTTTATTTTTTTTAAATTTTTTGGGCTCTCTTTTTCTTTTTTTGGGCTGAAAGTAGTTCTTTTTTTTGGGCTACTATTTCTTTTTTCTATTTTTTTCTTCTGCTAATCGTTCTGTCTCTTTGTTTAACTCTTGTAGTTGTTGCCAACTTTCCTTATTAGTCAGAAGCTTTGCAAATGAAAATGTTTTCTTTTCTTTTGAAAAGAAGATAATTCAGACTTTATCTGATTCTCAGTAACTATTTGTGGATTTTTGACAAATGGAAGACATAAAACTAGATACTTAAAGGCCAAACGCAGATCACATATTTCAGGATTTTTGTAAGTATTTAGTTCTTTCTTCATTGCTAAAATTTGAGATTTTAGCAAATCATTTTCATTCTTAAGTACTATATTTTCATTTTTAAGTGCTTTATTTTCTTTTATTAATTTGTCAATATTTAGATGAGTAGAATGAAAATGATTTGAATTAGTAAGTGTGTGAAATACTGAAGGTAGTTTAGTTTGTAAAACAGAAAGTTGGATATATGAAGGTGTAATATTAAATTGTTTAGTTGTTAATAATGGGTCTAAATGATCAGAAGTAATGGCATTTGGGTTTAAAGACCATATTCCTGTTTCTTGTAAGCATTGCAAATAGCCTGTAGCATATAAGTTTTAATAAAAGCTAAACCAAAAACTTTTGTATTTGGTTACTATCATTCTATTATTATCACTGTAATACTTTTTACATGCTTTGCTATATAATTTTTTTAGGTTAGCAAAAGAAATTTTTGATGGTTGTAGAACATGTGTTGTATATAGTGAAAGTGCATAAAGAAGAATACTATGATTGTGACAAAAGTTAACTGATATATAACTAACATGACCTTTGTGACCATCTAGTATTAGTAAAACAGGCTAGGCAGGTAGAATTGAACTAATAAAATAGGCAAGGTATATTTGAAAGAGTTCTTCCCACATGTACCCTGTGTCTGTAAAACCCATTACAGTTCCCAGAGATGCACCTTCTAACAAACCAGAAATTATATAGACACCTTTATAAATAATTAAAGGTAGAATACAAGTTTTAGCTGCCAAAATAGTTGGTGCAACTAAAATATGATCATGGGAATTTTCATGTGTAATTTTATAGACTTGATATGTACCTTTTCAGGCAAGAACTTTTTCAAACTTAGGTATGACAGTAAAACTAGTTTCATCTATATTCCATATTTGTATCATAGTAAAAGAATTTTCATTAATAATTTTTTGAAGTTTTTTTTTTTTTTTTTGTGTTTAAGGTGACCTCTTTGGCCGGGGGGCTTTTTATTAGATAATTAACAACGTTACAA